AGCAGGTGGGCGGGCGGGCGGGCGCCATCGCTGACACCTCCTCGTCGGTGGCACTCTCAGTCGTGTCGCCTGTCCCTAGGCTATGGCATGTCACTTCAGCTATGGCATGGTTGTCGCAGCTCTGGCCAAAAGTGTGTTAGTCACACATTTCTTTTTACACCTGGCGTGTTGCAAGAGACTGCTTTGATTTTATTACTCAAGGGCACCACTGATTTTCTCACTGTCTTCAGCAAAATTGGGTGAGGGACGGTGATACATTGTCCTGGGTTGAGAGACACAGGACTAACTTTTCTTCTAATGCTGGGGAAAATTGCACTTTCAGAAGACTCTAGTGTCTGGATTTGTGAAAATATGTACTTTATAGCCAGCCAGGCTCTGTGGGATTCAAGGTTTTAGTGTTTTCGAGCCTTGCCAGGTGCAGGGACAAGGAGGAGCAAGGCCTGGGCATTTGACCCAGCCTGGCCAACAGGATTATTTCATACCATGAACGTCACATTCAATATAAATTAGAAAAGTTTGCTGCAGAACTCTCTCTCCCTTGATGGTGGTGGGTCCAGAGGACTCATCGTCGTGGTGCCAGACTCCTGAGGCCTTCCCTTCCTCCTGAAGCCATTGGCAGCGTCTGCCATTTGCTGTCCCTGCTGGGAGTGCACGGCTTCCTGCTGAGAGAATTGGCTGAGTATAATTCTTGTAAATCTTATATCAGTATTGGGATTAATACTATAGTATTACTGTTAATTATTTAGTCTTAGTCTATTAAATCTATTTATATTTCAACCCTTGTGTTTCTTTGTGTTCCCCGATTCCCCTTTCCGGGTGGAGAGGGGTCATTGGGTAATAGAATGCAAAAATGATGAAATTTGATACATCAAACATGCATTTATATTTTAAAATGATTGTATTTTGCCCTGCAGCCTAAAAAATACATCACTTCCTCTCCCATTTCCAGCCTATTCTCTGGTCTTATTTGTCTTTTCTTCACAAGGTTTTTTCCCCTTTTCTTCTTTTAACTTTTGTTTCCTATCCTCATATCTCTCTCTATGCTGGAAAACATAGTTCATCCTCAACACTGCTGCAGTTATGCTACTACTTAGACATGCTCTCAGCTGTTCCCAGTGCTGTGCAATTAAACTTTCACCAAAAATAAATGAACCTGGTCTATTTTAGTGCCTACACTGTTGTACTTATTATTAAAGTGTATAAAATCAGTGATGGGTTTTATTCTTACAAGTTCTGTGGTGCAGGGAATAATTATCTCTGTTCACAGAGAAGAAACTGAAGCACAGTTATTTTGCCTTAAAGTCATTTGGAGTCTGGCTGTGACAGCATTTCAGTCTAAATCTTCCATGTTTAAGCCCCAGAAATTGTCTGCCAAACTATTGTTTCCTGCTAAGCATTCTCAGAAGAGAAGGGAAGGGAACAACACATCAAAGGCTTGCTGAATTTTTTCTAGATGGTTTAGATACTACCTGCCAAAATCAGAGGAGGGACTCTTCCTGGCTCCAGTGAACTTCCAGCCCCTAGCTGCAATCTGAGTTGAAGTTGACTGTATCAGAGAATGCCCTGAAAGCAGGAGGAGAAATTAGGTAGGATTAGGTGGGATTTCAGGGAATCCATCTGCCAAATTACCCACCGTTGCATATCAGAGCAGGCACAGTTGCACACCGGAGGTTGCGCGGAGGCAGCACAATTATGATCATCCAGCCTCCATTACCTCCCTGCACCTTGTTCCTCTGTCCCCGAGTTTAGCCCAATAATCCTCATGGCTAGGAAGCACTAGTACAGCAAGTCATTAAGAAATACTTCCCTGATATTCAAACCTCTCTCTCTCAAAAAAAAAAAAAAATTAGCCTTTGTGACTTAAAATATCCACATTTCTAGTATGTTTAGCTGGCTAGCCATTTTGATCCCCAAGGCCTGCTGAATCAAAACAATGCTGCAGTCTGACCAGTCTTTTGAAATGACACTAATTAACGCTGTAGACTGTACTGGAAGTATATTGACAGCATGCAATGAAAAGGAAAATCAAGTATCCCGCTGGAGACAGAACTTTATCAGCATGTGAACTGGCACAAAGTTTTCTTGCATTTAGAAGTTTCAAAGAATGATTGAGCCAGGGCAGATGTTGCTTTCATTTTTTTTATTTTTTAAATGTCAGTCATTTGGGACTTTCCATGCCTCAGGATAATGCCAAGAATAAAGGGCAGGAAATGACAGCAGTAAAACTGATTCTCAAAAAAAAAAAAAAACAGGTCTGGCTGTAGCAGTGGAAAAAGATAAATGCGAAGGAGTGTCAGGGGGAACTGGGGAGAGTGCTGTTCGCATGGAGGCTGGTCAAGAGCAGCATCACAGGAGCTGCAGGAGGTTGATGTGGCTTGCCTGCAATTTTTAGCAAGAGCTTTGAGCTTGCCTACATGTAGGCTCTGTAATAACTGTACCAGTGTGTCATTAGCTCTAATTTGCAGGATCTAAGTGCCTAGGAGCTAGCTGTGACACCACTGTGCTACATGCTGAACGAAGGACAATCCAAACAACATATAATGAAAATAGATTTTTTCAGGTCTAACTTACTCAGAGCACTTGTATAATCACAGTCACACTTAGGATTTAGCTATACCATGCAGAGATCAGACACGATGGTGGTGGCAAGGCCTTACCACCAGGCCTGCAGCTTCAGCAAGCGCTACTGTCGCTGCCTGACACATGGAGGGAAGATGGGGCTCCTGGGGCTTTGTGGATGGTGCTTCCTGAAGATCCCTGGCAAACCGTGCTTGCTTAGAGTAAAATAGTTGGCCAATGAAAGCGATTCCTAATGATGAAAATAATAACTTTTTATGTAATCTTGCCATGATGTGAAATGCAGGAATCAAATGAGCCCACAGAAATTATATTGTAACAGACCAGCCTTGTGATGAATGCAGAGTTTGGGATTTGGCAACGTGGGCTCCCAGCTCTTCCTCAGCAATGCCAGACCATCAAGGGTGCACTCATCCCTTCATTCATAAAAGGGAAGCAACAATAGACTTTATTGATACAAAAGTGAGGTAACAGAGTTAAAAGTGAGTTAATACTGAGTGCATCCACAATCAATTGGTGGTCCTTTTCACTAATTCTTTCACACTGAGCTAATATCTTAGAAGGCCCCAACGGGCATAAACAGCATTGTTTGAAGCAGAGTATCATCTGTCTGTTGGCACAGTTCCACATCTGGAGGGAGTGAGACTAACTGAAAGTTCAGCAAGTGCAGCATGAGCAATTGTGGGTGAATGTCATACCCCTGTGGGAGTCTGTTAAAGGTATACTGTATTCCCTCCCAAGTGAAAGCAAACTTCTCTTGGTGCTCCTCCTTCAAGGGAACAATAAATAACATACCTTTTACATCTAGCACTGCCATCCATGCACATGCAGCTGCTTGCAAAGTGATTATTGAGTTTGCAATTTTTGGTACAGTGGGAGTGTGGGGTGTTGAGCACCTCTGCTGTTTCAGCCCCCTCTTTCCCTTAGAGTGGAGTCACTCACAGTTTCTTAGCTGAAGCAGAAAGCATAGGAGTGTAAGCCCCTCCAGTGGGCAAAGCTATGAAAATGCTATGTAAAATTAACAGTCATCGCCTGGAAGTTGAGCAATTACATGAAAGTTACTTTTCTTCTTAGATAATAAAGCGTGAGCCAAAAGCCAGAACTACAACTGTTTGAAAATACGGGCCAAATTCTTCTTCTGCCTCTGCAATGCAGAGTTTGTATCTGCAGCAGAGGGGAAGGCTGTTGTGTGTGACTGTATTTCAGATGATAAGTTCTCTTACTCAGAAATTGTCTTCTTCAGCATTTGTACATGCCAAATGGGAGTTAATGGCTTGCTAACTAAGAGTTACAGTAATTCAGTCTTTCTTATTTAATATGAATGTAGATGATTCTGTCATTATCATTCCCTAAGTATCTGTGTATCCCTCCTGGGGATAAGATACTGTTTACATGACAATTTGGCCTAAGCACAGGTACTGTAAGAAGTGTTTGAGCATCATTGCTGGGACTAAAGCTGTGGAGAGTCCAGCAGAGTACACAAAAATCCTTTTTGTTTGCCTTTAAGGAAGAATTCCACTAACAAGGTTCCATGTTCTTAACCTGATTTCAGTCCTGCTGAAAAAAAACCCCAAACTTCCAGAATGAAAGTGAAAATCAGCTGAAATTCTGCCAGCTGTGGTGGGAGGCACTAAGCCTCATACAGTTAATGTCAGTGGGACTGAAGACAAAGTGTACAGCAAAGCAGAAGCATAAATCTTGGGACTGGGGCCAGAGGACACTGGTGTCTCTGCAGTTGCCTGTAAATAAGTAGAAGAGAAATAAGAAGCATTTGGACACTGAAGTGCCTGTGTTATGGACCAGCAAGGCTGTCTGAACAGCAGTAGGAGGGGCAAAGCAGCATTTCTGAAAGCAGAGCTGATACTTGGGCTGCACA